TGAACCTTCAACAAGGGATAATTAAAGATGTCTCTGTTAAATTATTAGCAAAATGGTGTTAACTTGTGAGAATCGTTACAAGCTTGCTGCATGCAAATTTTAAAGAAAATCTAATGACTAGACTTTCTGCAAATAAACAAAACCGATTTTAAAGGCCTGTTTATATTTATTCATGTTGCCATGGCAGCGGCACATACGTCAGCTTAACCATCAAAAAACCAAAGTTTGTGTTGTTAACTAGCTTGCTGCCATTTTTGACGACCGAAGGATCAAGGGTTTTAGAGAAAAAGGTCAATAAAACACAGGTATCAAAAACTGTGTTCAGCCACCTTAAGCGACTGTTATGCACGACACGACCACAAAATTAATAGTTTGAAAACGTCTGCGAGACTTTTTCAACTTGACATCACTACCTCTGTGCCTAACCCATTATAACACTCTTTCTGTAGTTTCGGTGCACTTAAATGTAATTTTTAACAACAAAAGACCAGTTTGATACTTAGGTTTCAAGCAATTAATCCGCCAATCAATCAATCAATCAACCAATCAATTAATCAAAGACTCAAAGTATGTCTTTTAAGTTTTTACTTGTCGGAGTTATGTTCATGATAGTTCCCTTTTAAGAGCAGATGTTTAAGAACCATGGACGTCAACAAGAGGTAGTGTTCTTGCTCCTAGCATGTTTCACCCCAGTTCCGCCAATGAGTTGCGGAGCCCTGAAGTTTTAGTGAAAAGACGACAATGGGCGCCACGGAAGACAACATTCAACATCCCGTTTATGATCACGTTGTCTCTCAAAAACTTCCGCACGCAAAAACCATTTAGGCTTCATTATAACAGCTTATTGCAGCTGGTACCAGCTGTTTATGCTCATTTAAGGCTGAGCGATTGCATTGGAAGCAGTTCAATACAAGACTATCACAGCATCTAGAAGAACTGCTATCTTTCAACGAGGTACTAACGAGTATCCTGTCATTGACCAAAATTAACAGCTACCTTTATTGAGAAAGTGATGCATATCGTTTAATCCATATTTGATATTTTATTACACCTGCAGGAACCTACGATCCCTTTTTCGTGCTGCCGCAAAAATCTTGGAGAAGAAAACCGAAAGGTAGGCAGCAGAAGGGTTAGTGTAAGGGGCTGGTGACGTGGAGGGAGGAAGGTCCTATCACCTAGGAAGAGACAACTTTTCGTTTATGTTTTACCAGCAAAATCTTCAGTTAGATGGTTACCAAGTGGAAAAGAAAAACAAGATGAAATAGTCGACCGTCTTGACATCGCCATGTTTGTTTGTTTTGTTTTGTTGTTGTGTTTTGTTCCGACTTCTAGGATATAGGTGCACAAGGATCGTCTTAGCATAAGGATCGTCTTATCTCTCAGCTACAAAGAGCCTAGCGCTTGAGAGAGTTTTGTGCAAGGGTCAAAGGTAAACTGAATACAGAAAACGTAAGGTGCTAGGATGAAATCTTTCAGAGAATATTTCGTACTCGTGTTGTTTTCTACAGAACCATAGAAAACTATGCAAACAAAAACTAATAAAATATATAATGATAATGATAATAATAATAATAATAATACAAAAAAGTAAAGCAAATAAAATGTAGAATCAAAAGGGATAATTATTTTAAAGATGTAATCTATGTGTAAGCGCACGCATGCAGGCCTTTAAACGCAAAACTGACAATTTTTGCTGCACTAAATTGCCTGCCTCCGTATTCGCGGGAACGACCAAACAATCTGTACCATATTAATTACAAGATGACGGACTACAAAAGTGTGTCAAGCGTTTCCGATCTTCGTCACATGAAAGGCCTAAGTGAGGAAGTATTTAAAATGCCAGTTAAGCCCAACAGTGATCGAGGAACATTTTGGCGGAGGTTCGTGAAAATCGGTTAAATCTACGAGTCGTAAAGCCTCAGTTTCCAGCCCCTAAAGCTTTGCGAACTGAACGATGTTTGAATTTTATGAATATTTCACTTGAATTCATTATTTTATATCTGGGTCAATCTCTCCCAAATTGATAGACCAGGAAAATGCTGTGGACTTTTCCAAGTTTCTTCTTCTTCGCCGGCTTCTTTATGGATTTCGTAGCCGCTGGTGAGCAATGCAGAGAGGAACGGAGCATAAATGGGATGGCTCTACAGGGATTCGTCTTTAAAAAGTTTCCCGTAAGAGCCTTTCACGAGTGTGACATCAGCTGTGAAAGAGAACTCACCTGTCAAAGCTATAACTACGTGGTGGGGGAAAATTCGTGCGAACTGAATAACCGCACCAAGGAGGCAAGACCGGAACATTTCCGCTTAGACCCGGCACGTGTTTACTTAAAACGCTTGAGCAACCGGGGTAGGTACAAACCTATTACGAAGCTTTAGCAAAAGCAAGTAATTAGGGAGATTAAGCAACTACGACAACGACGGCAACGAGAACGTCACTAAACAAAAGGGTTAATGAGCAAAACTGTGCACGTGCGTTATAAATCTTAATTTGTACATTTCTTTGCCGTCAAAACAACAA